TTTGTGCTTGAAAACTGAAACAAACTCTTTCTAGTGCACGGAAATCTTTCTTCTACTTGCTTGCTCGTTAAAACTGAAACTAACTGCTTTTTTTAACGGGTGTAACTCAATAAATACTATTGTTGAATCGTTAGTTTATAGGCAAATTATGGCAGTAATGGCTAGAGACACGAACACTAGTAATGGAAAGTCTAAAAGGTTGGTAAAAAAAGTACCGTAATCAATCGAGCATAGCAAAGCTATAAAAAGAAGAGGAGCTATGACAGGTTTATTTTATAAATATAGGAAATCAAAGAAAAATCATAAAGCTTGAATAGCTTGAATTTGAGTCGATGAGGCGTCTCGGGATCGTCTCAATTTGTACACGGTCAGGGGCACCTTGAAATAAGAATGAAAAAAACAAACAAAAAGAAAAGCCTGTTTTAAGTGGAGCACACATGCATGTCAACAAAAAAAAAAGGATTTTGACTGGATACCATTTTGAATTTAAATTTTTAAAGGCTAAAAATTAGACAGAATTAGATATTGTTTTGATATATCTAAATCTATTGATTAGATATCGAATAATCAAATTTCAAAAGCTTACAAATTTATCTAAAATTTCTGTATCCAAAATCACCGGTTACATGCTAACAAAAGGGAAAAAAAGAAACAAAAGAAAAATGAGAATGAAATTGTGAAAGAAAAGCGAAAGCTCACCGGTTAGGGATGAAGAAAATCGAGTAATCCTGTTAGTAAAAAGGAAATTGCTAATAATACTATTTGGAATATTTGTTCTTTTGCGCGTTTTTTAAACTCAAAAACTCTTTCTGGTGCATAAAAGTCTCCATTTTCCTTCTTAAACTTGGAAAAAGTAGAGTCGAATGCGTCAGAAGGGGTGGTTTTGATGAGCTTAAAGAACCCACAAAAATCTTCAGCTAGACTTATCGTCTAGACTTTCGATAGTTAAAGGTTACCGAAATTTAAAAGCTAGTTACTTGAGGTAAAACTTATTATGATTATTAGAATAATGAACAACTTTAAAATCGGCCAGCTCTCAATCGACTGGATCTTGTCGCAGCTGGTACTTTCCCTCCAACATTCGGCGATGGACTCTTCGATTTCCTCGTTTTTCCGCACTCAACTGATTCTTCGAGACTTTTTCCTTCAAATTCTCCGCTTCTTTTTTCAACACCTCATTTTTCTTTTCTTTTCTCCAAGGGAGAGAGAATTTCTTCGACTTTTGCTCTTTCGAATCAGGTTCTTTGAAATTTGATGAAATGGATGCTTGTTCTACAGTGTACATTGAATGTTCCGGACTTTTCTTTCTTTCAGTTTCTTCTTTCGGCGATTCGGATTCAATTTTCGAAGAAATCTCGGATCCATCCAATGATTTCTCATCAACTTCTGTCGTTGAGCGAGCTGTCAGCGTCTCGTTTTCTTCTTTTTCCTGAACTTTCGAAAGCTCTTCAGCTAAGAGAATCGATTTTTCTTCTTGTTTCTCAACTTCTGCAACTTCTTTAACAGGAGATACTGATTTTCGTTCAATTTTTGCAGTTTTCACGGGAGAAACCCTTCGCGATTCCCTTGTCTCAATCGATTTTACCGGAGAAGCTGATTTTCGAGGTGATTCTTCTCTTTTCCCTTTTCCTGTTAACGATCTCATTTCTTTTGGCGGCGAAACGGATTTCCTTAACGTTTCAGGCTTAGGGCTTTCTGCTTTAACCGATTCTAACTTTTTATCTTTTCTCCATGATGGTCGAACTGGAGACTTTGACTTTGTCTCTAAAGATTGGCTGGCTTTTATCTCTTCGACAGCCTTTGGAATCCTTTCTCCAACCTCTTTTTCTTGCTTCGATTTTGTTGCTGATCCTTTCTTCTCTTTGTTTTTCGACTCAACTTTCGTTTCGTTTTTCACTTCACTTTCCGTTTTCATTTCAACATTTTCAACTTTTTTGTTCTCTTCTTCTTTTGGAATCGATAAAGATTTTTCTGATTCACTAGGCAATCGTTTAAAGTTTCGATTGAATCTTGTTGGAGAGTTATTGTTCTCTTTTGACTCAAATTTCTGTGTAAGTCCACCAACTAATCTAGGCACAACGGGAGCTCCTCTAGGCAAGGGTTGTGATCGATTTGCTTTGCTCTCCAATGCTTCTTGTCGATCTAGAAGCTTATTCTTGACAGCATTTGAACGAGGCTGTGGTGAGTGTCCGTTTGCTCTCACCGGTGAAAATCTCGTCTTTTTCGGTTCCTGGATGACTTCTTGTTTAAGCTTTTGTTTGGATGACTCAACTTCTTGCTTCTTTAACTCATTCTTTGAGTCTTCTTTAAGTTCACCGACTTGTTCTTGTTTTGTCGGTGCTTCTTGTGCACTCTTTTCCAGCTCTGCTTTCCCCTCCTTCGCCTGTCCTCCTCTCAACTTCTGCAACTCAACCTCCCGCAACTTCCTCTTCTCCTCGAGCTCCTCCTTCAACCTCTTCTCTTCCTCCTCCTTCTCCCTCCTCTTCTCCTCCCTCCTCCTCTCCCCTTCCACCGCTCTCATCTTCTCCTTCGCCTCCTCCTCTCTCCTCCTCTTCTCCTTCTCCTCCCTCTCCCTCATCCTCTCCTTCTCTTTCACTCTTTCCCTCTCTTCTTCCATCATCTTCCTCTTCTTCTTCTCCTCCTCTATCATCTTCATCCTCTCCTCTCCCCCTGTCTCCTCATTTCTCTTTCCCTTCTCCTCCTCTCAATCTCTTCTTCCATGAGCCTCTCTTTCTCTCTCTCCTTTTCTCTCTCTTCCTCTAATCTTTTTTGTCTCTCCCTTTCTCTTTCCATTCTTTTCAATTCCCATCCTTTCAATGTCTTCTCCGCATCTCTCTTTTCTTCCTTTTCTTTTTCTTCTTGTTCCACTTTTGTCTGTACCTTTGCATCTTGTTCGATTTCTGTCAATCGGAAGTTCTTCTTCCTTTCCTTTGGTTCATGTACTTCCAATATATCCGTTGTGTGTTTCCTCCTTTTCGGTGTCTCTCCATCTTCTACTCCTTTTCTTTCATTATGTATCTCGAGAATGTCAACTTTTGACGGTTTTTTCTCCCCCATCTCCTTCTCCTTATTTTCCGGTGTCATCTCGGGTCTTGGCATCTCATTCCTCTTCTCTTGTTTCTCTTGTTCTGTTGCCTGTGTCGCTATTTGTTTCTTCTTTGCCATCACCATTTTGATTTCTCCTTTCTTCTCTTGTCCAATCGGTTTAGGCACTTCGATCACTTTTCTCTCTTCTTTTTCCACTTCTTTCTTGATTTGTTCGAATTTCTTGATCACCGTTGGTTCGGCTTTCTTCGTGGGGATTTCCCGAACGAGTTGTGTGTCCAGCTCATGTTCAGGTTTTGCCTGTTCCAGGAATTTGTTAAATTTGTCAACAGGTCGAGTTTTTCGTGGCTCCGCGGGTTCAGCCAGAATCATCGGTGCTGTGCCAGCGGGCTTCGACTGAAAAATGGTTATGGATTTTTAGGATGAAATTTCATGAACTGAAAAAACGAAACGACGATGAAAGCAAAAAGAAATTTGCATGCAATGAATGAAAGAAATCAAAACAAATCACAACGATGAGAGAAAAATGGGGGTGAGAAATGAAATGAGAGAAGCGTGAGTCATGAGTGAACTGGGGTTGACTCAAGACTTGAGCTTTCTATAAGGTACATTGAAGAAAAAGCTACCGTATCCCGAAAGGAAAACAGTCCAATTTTGACATAAAGCTGATACAAAAAACTCGTCAAAAACATCCAAAGTTTAATGAAAATGAAAAATTGAGGCTTATAGAACAAAAATGTTACTACCAGACTGATTCAACAACGACAGATAGCCACAGAAATTTGTTTGTAACCTCAACTACTATAGAGGCAACAATCATAAGTCTACACTGAATCTCCAACATGCTCTTTTGATCGAAAACAGTAGACAACTCAACTTGCGATATGTTTCTAATCGATCACTACCAGACTTGGATTCATTTGTTCAAAAGTTGAAACACCTCTCTTCTATCGGACTCGTTTCTTTGCTTTCTTGTGCTAGCGTGAAAAGAACCGAATCTTTACTCAATCCTCTCGATTCTTTACTTTGTTGTGCTAGCGCGAAAAGAACAGAATCGAGTGCGACAGAAATGCAAGTTTACAAGTTTGAGCACAATCCACAAGCATATCAACAATCGACCATTGACTCAACAACATTTCAATCTCGACTACTCAACACAATCTCAACGGTCGCAACAACAACAACAACACAGAAATCTCTACATGCTATTCCACCAACCGGCACTTTCTTTGGCTCAACTTGCTTTGGCATTAGAGCTTGCTAAAGGGAAATGGTACAAAATAGATATATCCATATTTCTTGTACATATTTTCCAATAAACTCTTGATAATCTTTGATAAAATCAGTATAGAATTTGCAAATGAAAAGTGATTGTGTCTAGATTTCCTGCTAAACCATTACAAAAATCATCACTTTGAGAACTTTTGCTCACAAATCTCAGCCGAAATTGTGAATTTTACATGTAAATTTGTGAATAATGTCATAAAAAGCATGATTTTGTTAAATACCGTAAATGCTGTATTAGAATGACCCCCCCTAATAGAATGACACCCCCGTGACCCCTCGAAATCATGACTTTAGACCCCCTTGCCGAGGTTGTATGAATAGATCTAAGCCTAAAACCTACTAATATTTTATCAGCAGTAAAATTTAAAAGGCTATTTTTGAAAAACAGAAAAATAACATTTTGAAAAAAAAATCATAAGGGTCCTCATATGGATTTTTTTTTGGTGATTCAAAGGGGGTCGCGGGTAAGAAAATAATTTCACTTTTAAACGTGTTTTTTGTACGTTTTGGACAAATAGCAAATTCTAAATTTTTGTACTTTTTTGTACCCTTACCTACTTTTTGGATCGACCGATTTTGGGGGGTTGAAAAATAGAACGACATGTCATTCTAATACTTTCATTTACGGTACTTGAAGAATTTCTTTTAAAAAAAATCGAAACACTAACCTCAGATTTTCTCTTTGCGTCCTCTTCTTCGCGTTGCTTTCGGCGCAAAATCCGTCCTGTAAATGAATTCGATGAAATTTTAGAAATTAGATGAGAAATTTCAGAATATTAAAGAAAATTATATATAAAATTAAGTGAAAATGTTTTTCAGTTGATTTTCAAGAGAAATAGTTGATTTTTGCTTTTAAAGAGGTCATTTGAGAGCTCATCTCGAATGCATTCGGATGTGATGGGATCACAAATGTTCTAAAGAAAAAAAAATCACAAAAGTTATTTGACAAATTTGACAAAACTTTAGAGATAGTTTAAGGTTTTCTTTGTATTTTATGGATATTTAAATAATAAGTTTTCAAAGATTTCAAGCTTCACTCACGAATTTCGCCGTTTCGTAGTGTTGTCTGCTCGATTTTGTGCCTCCCCTCGGGTAATCGCAATGTCAACGATACCTAGATTACAATTATATTCTTTTTTCGAGAAAAACCATCAACATTTATTGCTTTACAGTAATATTAAGAAACAAAACTCACTTTGCATAGGCCGTGATTCTTTTGAATTGATCGAATGATACTCTTCTCAGCTTCTGTGGAAAAAGTGACGCCCTAGAAAAGAGGTTTTGATTAAAAAATGTACAATAATATAGATTTTCAAGAAATCTCTAGATTTAATCTCTATTTTATGATCTTCTTGTGCTATTCTTGTGCAAATGAATTAGTTTTACTTAATTAAACGACAAGTAAACAATCTATTTAAGCTCTAACTAATTAGTATTAAAGCAAAGGTATGAAAAACCCATTATAACATCTACAAATTTACTATAGTATTCAAGTATTCTATTCATCAACTTTAATCTAATATGCCATGTAATCTTAGATGAAATTTGTATATTCTTTAGTGTGCTTAGTTTGTGAAAACTTGAAACGTTTCCAACCTGATTGACAGCTTTTATCTCTTCAAGTGTTTCATTTTCAGCGGCTGCCTCGAAAAGACCACTAAATAAATAAATATATATATATAAATTGATGAAAAATAAATAGTTAACTTAAGAATTATATCTAAAAAAAGTATAAATACGAATCTCCAAAACTCACCAAAAGAAATCACCGCTTAAATAGTTCGTTTCCAAATTGAGATGTTTCAAATTCTGATTGAGTTTGAGTGCCTCGACGAGAATCTGAAAAAAAGCACATATTAAAAACCATTTTAACTTTAAAACAAGCATATGTTTAACGTTTAATGTTTAAAATGTTTAAATATTTGAAAACAAATGTTTAAAATAATTAAATGACTTTAAAAAAAAGCTTGCAAAATGATATAGAAACTTCTTGATCTTGCTAGAAATAAATAGCTTTTGAATTCTTGAATAAAAATGGTTCAACTAAAGATGAAATTCTGGAAATTAGAATGGGAAATTGGTGTGAAATGGGGAAGAAAGGGAGAGTATGTGAGTTTTCTCAAAATCTCTTCTCTTTTTTTCGTCAAATTCTTTGTGTTTCTATGGGAGACAAGAGAAAACAGAAATGTATTTTAAAAAAGTGAAAGAAACACTTTCTCGTGTCATTGGAAGCTATTTTTCCTCCAAAACACAGTAGTTTTTAAGAGCATTTCATCTAGAATGCAAGTCAAAAGGATCATTTATGAAAAATTCCTTTTTAGGATGATAGTCAGACTTGAAACTAACGTAAAGCTTTTCGTTCTCTGCAGATTCGATTTTTGTATAGCTAATCAAAAACCTATAATACTTGTAAACCTATAGTAATCAAAAATCTAGAGTATTTGTAAATTGAAACACTCACCGCTACATCCGTATCATATAATCCCATATTGGCTAAACTGAGCTTCTCCAAATGTTCATTGTAGGCCACCGCCTCGATTAGCCTTTTCAATTGCGGCACTGGGGTTCGCTGGAAAAGGAGTGATGAAATTTGATCGTCAAACTCACTTTCATATTGTTCAAGTTGATCTGTTTGAGGCCTGGATCGTTTGCTTGGAGTTGTTGAATGCATCTAAACATCAAATTTTATTGTTTATACATTGAAAAATACATTTTAACCTAGAACAAAGGATAAACGATGGTTTTTGATTTAACTCTAGCCTGACCTGATCAGAGTTACAAGGTCATGGAATGTTCCTATTCATTATACCGATATTAATCTATTCGGGACGATCCGGTTGATGAAAACAATCATCTTTTGATAAAAACAATCATATCTTGACAAAAATAATCATATCTTAATCTACAATGATCGTTTTTAAGTTCTTTATTGCAATTGATAGCTAGCGAGATACTGAAGAGCGTTTTCTTTTTAGTTTTTTCAAAAAAGCATTAGAAAAAAGTTTCCAGAATCAGATCATCGAAAAAACAACCTTAACGCGAATGTGTTAATGATTTAATTGTAATTGTACCTGTCAACATTCGTGTCATTGTCGGGTTCAGTGGGACGACTCTGTTCGACGAGTGAGCATTTGATCGGCTGAAACGTTAAAGTTTAAAAGTATACACAAAATCAATCCCATAATCAAAAGCAATCACAAAAGCTCTCCTTTCCTCACCTCATTACTTGTGTCAGCTAGAATCCTCTCAGCTTCTTCCCAGCTTATCATATGATTCTCATTCATCGCTTCTAAAAAATTTCGCTTTTAAACATGAAACTCGATTCTATGTTTTAAAAGGAAAAAGGAAAAAAAGAAGCTGAATAAACCTAGCATTTCGTTTCGAAGGGTTTCATCAGAGAAACCGAATTTGCCTGTTTATGGAAGAAAATTTAGATTAGGAAAGATGGTTATGATTGCAAAATAGGGGGTAGGCTAATTTCCGCCATTTTATTTGCGCAACTGGGTCGTTTGCGCAACTCGCCATAACTTCTTTTAAGTAAGCCAATCTTTATGATGTTGGTTTCATTTTGTAGATCTCAATAAGCACAATAAAATGAAACCAAAACCATAAAGATTGACCCACTTAGAAGAAAGTTATGGCGAGTTGCACAAATGACCCTGTTGCGGAAATAAAATGGCGGAAATTAGCCTACCCCCAAAATAGATTAAACGTCGAACTCACTCAATAGCTCTCCCACATCTCCTTCATTATCTAACGAGAGATCATCCATTGCATTGAGAAAATCCTCATCGGTCATATCCTCCACATCGACACTCATCTTTAACCTAAAAATCAAAAGTATAGTAAATACAAGAAATGCTGAAAGAAAAGCAAAACAAAAGCAAAAAAAAGCAAAACAATAAAATAGAGATGATAAATCTTTTCCTTTTTTTCTTTTTGGTTCTAAAATCAAGAATTTCCTCGAGAAGGAAAAAGAAGAAGATCTTTAAAACAAAAGTGAGGCAGAAGAGGAAAAGACTGGGATTTCATTGAACAAATCATCGATTTTTGGTTAGATAAACAAGCACTTGAATGATGATCAGCTGGGGTATTTTGTTAAGAAAATTTTGGTACTTTTTCAATATCGGGGGAGCGAAAGGGAAATCGGGGGAGCAAATTTTGCCCCCTCGAAAAATGCATTTCCGGGACTGTATTTTAACTGCAACGTTTTTTTTAAACTTTAACGACGTTGCGGTTCTCCGACATTTGTGCGTTCAAGGAATCGACGGCAATCGATTATTTCGTCACCAAAGGAGTCATCCAGTCGTGGATTTGCAACTGTGGCGAATCGATGAAAGTCCGCTCAAAGGGAAAAGATCCATTTCGCTGGGTGTTAGATATTTAAAGTCACTTTTGTGATCTAATATAAAGGTTGTGAGAATAACGGGTAATTCGCGGATTTTATGGCGGTAGTTTGTATAATATAGGACATATGTAGCGCTGCCAAAATCTGCTCCCCCGATTTTCCTTTCGCTCCCCCGATAATCGGACCGCTCCCCCGATATTGGAAAAGTACCAAAATTTTGATACCTTTAACGTTTATAGAAAACGGTTAACTTGAATTTGCAAGAGATAATTACATTTTAAAGAACTTTAGTATAACAAAGTTATCAATTTCATTTTCAAACAATTTCAACATAGCTTTCAACAACGAACTTTAAACCTCAAACATTTCATTATATTCATTTAAAAGAATTCTTTATCTCTGACAAACGAAAACAGTTGTGGAATTAAAAATTGTGACTTTGAAACTTCATGAAAAAGTGGTAATTTGATTCTCTGACTTTGAGAGATTGAGTGATCGAGGAAGTGAGAGGGAACGGGGTGAAGGATCGGTGTAATTGCATAGTTTCCTTGAGAAAAAGAAGACTTTTTAAAAAATCCAGGAGAATAAAGCTTAAGCAAGAAAAAAAAGTGTCTGAATAGGCTGTAATTGAAAAAGAACTAGCGCATCAGAAAGGGTTTTTTTACATTTTTGAGCACAAAGTACTTGAAAGATCAGTCTTAACTGAACTAGCTATGCTAATTTGGTCAATTCTTTAGGCACTTTAGACTGTAAAAAGTAAAGCAATGACTCGAATTGATCCAAAGAATAGCTGAAGAATCGAATTTTTTTTGAAAAACAATTCTAATCAGAAATGATTTAGTATTTAGAAAGAAAGAGAAATGAATCAAACTACCGTATAAACTGTAATAGTACCGCACCCCCCTCGTATAGTCGCGTAGTCGCAAAAGTTTTTTAGTATTTCATTTTTTTCAAAGCGTCTGTACTTTCAAAAAATGCGCGCCTAGGTATCAAAAAATAGCTGAAATTCAGGGTTATTTTTTGATACCTAAACGCGCATTGTAGCATAAACCAGTGTCGAGAAAAACTCGTTCAAAGCTAGACTACGCAACGCTCCGCACCGTCATTATGGGCGTGGGGTGGGTACTATTACAGTATTTACGGTATGTTTGGTGTTTTTCACGGTTGCTCAATTTCCGTGAAAATTTTCGATAACAATTAAAAAAGAAATTGGTCAAGACATCAATAGTAAATTGTATTTGTGAACTAAACTAAAAAGAAAGAAGAAGAAGAAAAAAAACGAAGAAAGGAGACAAAAATGTTTTCGTTTAGGTGCCAAACAGCTGACCGATTGAAGAAATCGGATAGAGAGCTTTTCGTAAACGATGGATATTGATGGGAAGAAAAGAACAAAAACGGGAAAGAAATGAGTCAATATTGTTTGATCAACATTATATTGTGATATCAGACAGGGTGATCGAAATGGAAACTACACAATCACATAAAGTGCGAACGGGTGAATGGATGTGAGAAGAAAACAATCAAGAATTCAAGATTGATATAAGCTGAATAAAAAGAATAATAAAAAATTGATTGAGGAAAATCAAATGATAAATGAATCCTTCATACTTAGAAGGTAAGGTGAAAATTGAAAATCGAATTGATCCAATGATTGATCTAATCGAATTAATTCAATGATTCATCCAATCGAATTGATTCAATGATTGATCCAATCCAATTGATCTAATGATTGATCCAATCGAATTGATTCAATGATTGATCCAATCGAATTGATCCAATGATTGATCCAATCCAATAGTTGAAGAACAGAAATTGAAGAAAAAAAAGTTAGAATTGTTTGTAAAACAATTCTAATCAGAAATGATTTAGTATTTAGAAAGAAAGAGAAATGAATCAAGCTATTTTTGGTGTTATGGGTCGATTACAAATAATGACAAATAATACAGCCAGGATTGTTTCAAAGAAGCTTTCAGAGTCAGGCCAAGTAAAGCAAGGTCAGATCTAAGCCAGAATATAGTTCTGATCTGGTTTTGTTGCAGATTTGAGTTAGTAAAAAGTCTTGGTTGACATGGCCTAGAGCTGGTTGAGAAATCTCTGGTAAAAACATTCAAAATGGATTCAAGATTTGATTTAGGATTTAAAGAGGATTCAAAATGGATTTAGGATTCAAGAATCATCACAAAAAAACACTATCAATCCTTTAAATGAAATTCCTCAAAAATCAATTAGCTCATCCTTTACGTCAAGCCTAGAACCTTGGATGAGAGAAAAGGAAAGTAAGAGAAAAGGAAAGTAAGAGAAAAAGAAGAGGATAAAAAATAAATAAAAGTTAGTTGAAAATTTAGGGAGTAAAGGGGATTTTGGAGGGAAGAGCTCTCATTGGAAGGGGAGATCTTTCTGAACTCTCTTCGCTTTTCTTCTTTTCTCCTGTCAAGTAAATGTTTGTTGGGGGATGAAAGTAGGCGGTGGTGTGTGAGTAAAAATGAAAGAACTAAGAGAAGAGGTTTGCTTTGAAGAGTAAAAGAATACAAAAGGGATTTGATTTGGCTTTGAATCAAAGGCGAAATTTGAACGAATTGAAGAGTAGAGTGGAAAATAGAAAACAGAAATTATTTAAGATAATTGTGGCTTTGGGAAACTGGATATCCTTAGGTTTAATTGTAAAATTTGAACTGGCTTTTGATTTGAGCTTTGATTTGAACTTTGATTTGAAATGGATTGTAAAGTGGTTGAATTTTACAGTTTTAGAATTGAAATTTCGTTAAAAATCAATAATTTTGTCTTATTTTTGATTTCAAAATCGAAAAATTCGCTTTTTTTTCAAATCCAGATGTTTCTTCTCCCTAGCTTTGATATAAAAACAAAAAGCAAACAACAAAAAGATCATGTGAACATAAGAAAAATATTTGAAAATATAATATCGAGGTTTTTACTTTAGAAATCGGCTTACAAAGAGATCAACCGAGCTTAAACGATTCGACTCTTCCAAAATCGGAGCTGTTTTTGTTCGCGAACCACGAACTCACATTTCAATCGGAATCTTTCTCGTTGTTGCCCCTTCTTCTAATAAATAAGAATTGAAACATTTTCTAGAATATAATTACTTGAGATTTACTTGTCAAAAATAAGTTAGGAGAATTTATTGAAGTTGCTCGAAAGGAACAGAGTCTAATAGTCTAATAAATCAAAAAAACAAACAACAAAAAGATCATGTAAACATAAGAAAAATATTTGAAAATATAATATCATGGTTTTTACTTTAGAAATCGGTTTATGAAGAGATCAACCGAGCTTAAACGATTCGACTCTTCCAAAATCGGAGCTGTTTTTGTTCGCGAATCGGCGCTTGCATAAAGAAGAAGACTCAAGAAATTGAAGCGGCGTAAAAAGTTTTGCAGAAAAACTGAAAATTCGGTTGAATTTATATACGAATTTGCAAAGATTTCCATAAATATAGCGAGTTTTTAAAGAGAACAAGATCACAATAACAAGCGGATGGTTAGGTGTTTAACACGTTCGGGACGATTCGGTCCACCGGTGGACAAAGGCCGTCTGGCCCCTGGGACGCTTCGGTCCACCGGTGGACGAAATTTTTGACGCGCTATAACTTTTCAACTTTTTAAGATAATTTCAAAATGTAAAAAGATTCGATTAGTTCTAATCAAGAACTATAAGGTTGCGCTTTGAAATAGTTGGACTAATAGCTTTGCGAAGGCTAATAGCTCGTCCACTGGGGCAGTAAAGCAAAAAAACGCCTCGTCGCGAATGTGTTAAAGATTGGAACAATCCGGGCCTCAAACAGATCAATCTGAACAATATGAAAGTGATTGGAGGTTAAAATTGTTTGAAAAGCTGACGTAACATGAACTCAAATAGGCAATTGATAACAGTCAGCTAAAGCTTTTAGAGTTGAACTGTTTTGATAAGTTGAAGTGATATTGTTGTGGGTGTTAAGAGGTTTTTGGTTCCTTATCTCTCTAAATTTGGTTCCTTATCTCCCTAGATTTCGTTCCTTATCTCTCTAAATTTGGTTCCTTATCTCCCTAGATTTCGTTCCTTATCTCTCTAAATTTGGTTCTTGAAAGCAACGCTTGATTTGCGTAGGTAAATTGATATTGTATAGAAAGATTTGATCAAAGATCAATCTATATTAATATAGAAAAGCTTTGATCAATGATCTAAATTGAGAGCTAGATAGGTAGATTGATATGGAAAGATTTATATCGTGTAAGAGAAATACCTGAATAGATGTAACATACAAAATAATACGGATTTTTATGGTTTACTCTTTCAATAGATTGAAGAAATGAGTACAAGAGGAGGAAATTGCGTGAGGGGAATAACAGAAATGGTATTGTTCCTCTTTTCTTCTCCTTTTTCTCATGAAAACCCCTTGAGAAACGTCAGTGAATAGATGAAAATATGCATATGGGAAATTGTGAAGAAAAATT